AGTCACTGAATACAACTGGTTGGTTGAAACAAAATCCTGGTTTGGATTTTTACTTTCTGGACCTGAAATGTCCAACTCTGATGTCCACTGAAGATCAGAAGGTATTTAACATGTCTGTTCAGCATGTTTCTTTCAGATCTTTGATCTGTACAATTCTGCGAACACTTAACAAGATTACTCTTTAAACACCATGAAACCTTAATTATCCACTGTGCACAGGCTTGTCTGGGATTTGAACCCGGGACCATTCGCACCCTAGGCAAGAATCATACCCCTAGACCAACAAACCTTCATGATGCAATGCCAGGGAACCCACAGGAAATGCTTACTCAACCAGAGTGTGTAAAACACCGGGCACACACTCTATGCCATCCATCCTCCTTAACACTGTGCAGCTAAAAGGAGACCTCTGCTTATGGCAAGAAGGCCTCCTGTAGGGTGGCACTATTGAGCAGGGCCGATTTTCAAAGACCAACACCTTTTGCAGTCAGTCTGATGCACCTCGCTAAGAACACAAGGTATGAGAAATTGAGGGGCAAGATCACAAGAGTGACACAAACAGGTCAGGTCTGCACACAAGCCAAAAACTGGAGTGTTTAAACAACCTGTCAAACATAGGCAGGCATGGATGTGGCTCCCTGTCTCAGTCTGCCAGGCTAGCACCCCTTCTCCCGTGGGGGGTTCACACCTCTATTCCTGTCCGGTGCTTGCCCACTCAAATAGGGCAAAACATATCTTCCACATGGAGTGCCATCCAGGGCAACTCCAGCTCCCACTCCATCCTTGCCGGCCCCCCCGTGACTGTGGACCGCCCCGGCTCTTCCTGAAACTCTCTCATTATTGCCAAAGGTGCGTGCCAAGTGACGCTTAGTCTGTAAGTGGCAGGAGCGGCTATTATTTACTAAGCATTACTGGGCCCAGGCCGGCGCGTTAGCCGCTACTCCTCTCGTCACTGTGCCGTAGAACATACTGTATACACACACATACTCCCTACAGACACAGAAATACACAGAAGGCCTAAAGACACACACACTGTACAAATACACATTCCACACACACACATACACTACACAAACTCTTTACAGACACACACACTGTACACAAACACACTCACAAAACACACACACTCGAGAGACACGCATACATACACCACAGAAACACAGTGCTACACAAGCACTCACTTTACAGAAACAGACATTCTACAGGCACACATAGTGTCTCATACACACAGACACATTTGACCTCTTTCTCACACACACACACACTCTCTCTCTCTCTCTCCCTCACACATAGTCTCAACCCCCCCCCCCCCCCCTCCCCATCTCACCAGCTCAGCCTGTAGCCGCTGTATCAGCTCATCCCTGTCCTTCAGTTGCAGGAGCAGTGATGAGTTCTCATCTCTCACGGGGTCCTGCAGGAGAGGGGGGAATGGGGGGAGGGGGGGCGAGATCAAAGGGTTAACAAGTCTGGGGACCAGAGAGGGAGGATGGGGGGGATCCGATTGTGGCCTGCGGGGCGGCGCTATGGGATGAAGGGGGACTGTAATAAAAGTGAGGCTACAGGCCATTCTGCTGTAATTTAACGTCACCAAAGCCCCTTCACGCACAGAAGGGAAGGAGCCCACAGGACCACAGGGCCCAGCGACTGACAGGCTCCTGGAGAGCGGGGAGGGGCGTTGGCAGTCATGTGACACACACAGATTCCCCCGCGGGGACTCCCCACCCGGGTACAGGGTTGAGGTTTTATGAGGTGTGATAATCTGCAGCCTCACTGACTCCTCGAGGGGTGGGGGTGAGGGGGAGCCCACTCCCCCAATTAAACTGAAGCAGAGAATCTTTGCACCTGTAACACCGGTGGGGGGGGGGGGGTTGTCGCAACAGTCATTCTGTACCCGAACTGCAGCACTGAGGCCCGTGCTGTAACAAACAGCCACCCGCCTATGCTCCTCAGAAAGGTCATGTCCTAAACGGGGGCAGCACGCTAATGGGAACATGAGACCCTAACAAATCCTGCTTCACACGGAGCGCTATCTTAATTAGACAGTCACCCTTCGAAGCTGGAGGGGGGGGAGACCAGAGGCCCAAGATCAGGCTGCCACCACTAAGACACCAAGCCTAGATCAGATCATGACCATGCATCACGGCACTGACCCTAGATCAGATCATGACCATGCATCACGGCACTGACCCTAGATCAGATCATGACCCCACAGCAACCCCAAATCAGCACAAAGTTCCCACATTAGAGCAAACAGCACAAAACTGATCTTACTTTTAATATACATTATGATTGAGAGAAATAATTTTAATTGTATACATATTTCTGGAAAGCTTTGGCTTTGTTCCTGGATTTGGGGGGTTTGAGTTTGTATACACACAGACTCATCTGGGTGACTCATCACATCCATCTGAAAATGTGTGTGCGTATGTGTGTGTCTGTGTGCATGTTTGCGTGTATGTAAGGGGGGGGTGCTGTACCCCGCATGAAATGGCAAAGCCTTATCACCGCGGTCTCAAACAGAGACTGTGCCGCCACGTGAGATCACGGATTCCCAGAAACGGGGGTGTTACTGCAGTAGCTCGCACGACAACGTGAGAAACACGCCAAAGCTTCTGCAGAGCTGGACACGGTGCCGACGGGGGTCTCAGCAGCGTTAAGGACACGCCGGCCTTCTTAAAATACCACCTGAGCACACACTTGTGGGTGTGTCTGGCACGGGAAACGTTAAGGCAAACCCTTTATACCACATTCAGGCTTGTGGTCTAGGTTAATCCGCGATCTGCAAATTCGCAAACCCAGTTAATGGCCACTACATGAAGCTGTTTGCTAACCAAACAAACCATCAGGGGAGAGGAGAGGCTGAAGAATCACCGCAGTGCATGCCCACTTGGGCGGCAATATGGCTGATCATCAGATGGGGCTGTAGGTGGACAGAACGGCATTACCACTTCTTCAGAAATCCTGGAAATGCTTCTCAGGAGCTTCGGTAAAAAGCCATACCGCTTCAGGACTTCAGTGAAGCGTGTCAGTTACTCACTGCATTACTGAGTCACCGCTTTGCCTGACCAACGCGTCTTTGAAGGGTGCCAGATCACCTGAAGCA